GTAAAGGTTTTATTATTGATAAAAGGATTTGTTGTAAATTATGCTCCATTGGTCTTTTGTGTTTTCTACCCACCTTTACCTCCGTGACGGTGAGATATCGTGATGTCTTTTACTGGGCTAGTGTAGCTCATTCCTTATTTAATCATTTCAGATCAGGAAGACATTGTTTCCGAGCCCGTTCCGCAGGAAGACGACGAAGGGGATGCCTAAAGACTCCATAGTCATATTCATAGCTTTTACTTTCGAGTTTCTCCTTTAGTTAGTTTGATCTTTTATATTTTGAGCACGTTTTTAGTTTTAGTGTAAGGGATGTTAATCGAAATTTTGACTTCGCTTCCGCATTTGACATTTTTAATACACATATTTCATTTTCAATTTCTGGGGCCGTTACAGCATATATTATACTTTCATATTCAAATCATCAAACAACAATTGCCCCTTTTTTCACCAGTCTACTGGTATCTATGGGGTTCATAAGGATGTCTCCGCTATGCGTGAACCTTTTCATTTAATATTCTCAATTACGGGTCTTCCATATACCCCGTCCGGTATGAGCGCTAAATTACTAAACCTCAATACCCCGTCCGATATGAGCACCAAGTTACCAAGTCTCCATACCTCATCCGGTATAAGACACGTTCACGGTAGGGTTCCTTGTGTACCCGGTCTGTCCACCATCTTCCAGGATATCCAGTAAGGCTGTCGTTTCATCCAGTCACTTAATCACACAAGCTTTTCGTTTACCTTTAACCTCCATTTTTTTCTAATTCAACCGTAAACACGTAAAACAACAATACATGCATTCAAAACTATAAAATAAATCAATAAAGTACTATCATGTATTTAAACTGTATAAACAATCAATAGAGAATAGCTTCCAGTTCTGCCTCTATTAGTAATCCGTAATTAATCCTAAATATTTTTTAACTTGTACAAAATACCGTATTTATTGTTAATTAGACTTCAATTATATAACAGAGAATAGGGTGAGAGATTCTTACTCAATTTGATGCCCGAAAAGATAAACTGTTGACTGCGCCGACTAACGGTCCTCGGGTTCCTTTTTCTTCGAAAATCAAAACGCACTATAAATACCTACAAATGTCTTAAAAAATCCAAAATCAGCCTTAGGGTCCAATTTTGGCCAATTATGAAATTTTTGCACGGCGGTTCCGCCATGCTCCGGTGATAGCGTCGCTGCCTGGGTTGGCTATTTTTGGTCATTTTCGATCGATTTTGCATCGATTCCTGCGAGAAAATACGTTAAGGGATCTCGGTTGGCCGAAAAAATACAAAAAATTGAACTCATCGGCGGTGGGGTCTCCAGTGCGATGGCTCCTCCAACTCACGTTGCGGTTGGGTGTTTTGCTCCAGTCAACCTATAGAGAAAACGGTGATTACAAAGGTGAAAAAATTGTGCTGAATGGGAATCAGGAAGGGCCTCATCGAAGGAGTTTTGTGAAATTTCTCGCGGCATTGCTGCCGAACTTTGCCTACGGTTTCTAGTCAATCGGCCAGTCCTTTTGCTCCGATATGGCCATGGGAGTGTTTAAAATTGAATTCCGAGTAAAAGAATTTTTTTTTACCTTTTTTGGTGGTCGAAAGTAGCTCCGGTGCGGTAGCAGGTGGCAGTGACTCTCCTTTCCGGCGGCTGGGTCTTCTTCTCCGGTAAGGGCGTCTGAGGGCTAAGGTTAGGGTTTGGTGTGAAGAGAGTTATTTATATCCGTCCCTATTTAGTCTGGACCGTCCATCGCGTTTGATCTAGACCATCCGATCGCGATTAAATAGGGAGTGAGTTTGGATCGTTCATCACGATCTAATCTGGGTTGTTCATCCTGATCTAATCTAGACCATCTGATCGCATTTAAATATGACCGATTAAAGGGCTATGTAATAAGGAAATTATTATGAGGAAATAATATTCAAAACTTTTATTGGCTTGTAAATGACTCTTCGTTAAGAGGCTTAAATATAATTTTTTTTCTTGTGGGAACAATCCACGGTGGCATTTTACGTCTTTAATTAGTTCATCCTTAGAAATACATCAGGGTTCCCCGTGTCAACCTCTATCAGGTCCATCGTGGGTGAAATCGAGTCCCATAGAAGATGGGCTAGATTGTGTTGGGGGTGGACCAGATGGCCTTATGGTGGTAATGGATGACACAGTAGATGTACCGAATTATACTGTGGTGGTGCCAGGTGATGCGGTTGGGACACCAGACCGTACTGTGGTGGTGCTGGATGGTACTGTGGAGGAGCAGAGTCGTACCGGAGTGGCTCAAGATCCTCCCACTGCAGGGGTGGCTCAAATCGTGACAGCAGATAAGGGTCAGGTAGCTCCATCCCTTCTTCCCGGACCTACTTGGGTAGTCATGAGTCTCTCCAGCATCACAAATAGTCGGTCAACATCCTCTCGAAGTGAGCCCTTCCGGGCTGCTTAGTTTAGTAAGGGTTTTCCTCTCCTCATCTATTTGTACTTGTATTTCACAAGGAACGGTTGAGTGATAATTCATTGTCTTTGGTGTTTTCTAAGGATTTTGTGTAAGGAATGTTTCCGAGGAATGCGGCTCTGATACCAACTGTAACGACCCCGAAAATATCCAAAGAAAATAAATGATAATTAAAGTGCGGAAGCGAAATAAATAGTTAATGTTTACATTCCTTACATATAAACTTAAAGTACCAATTAGTGTTATAGAATTCACCATTTTGAAAGAAATACAAAGAAATAAGGAAATAAACGAAAAATAAAGAAAACTAGCATTCTACTCGCAACCCTCTTGCGGATCG